TAGTTACTGGAAACTCGTTCAAAGCCAATTTAAATAAACCATCATTTTCTCACACAAAACTCTTAGCATTTTTTCTACCTGATTGTTTTAATAAAGGATGATATATTTGAATAAATCAAGAAAATTAATGTTTGCTGTATTATCGCTATTTTACGAATTTTTCCTTTGATCTTGCTGACTGATAATTTCCGTTCTCAGCGGAGTCGAGTGATATCAAAATTATCGCTAGAAACTAAGGGAACACGTGCCGTTGTCAAGGAAATTAACAACGTCTTCATTGGTAAAATAGCGATAAACAGAATATCATTGGTCATCTCAACTCGATTGCTTTTCTCACTTTCGCCGTACCGGCTCAAGCGAGAAAATCAATCTCGTTGAGATAACCAACGATAATCTATAATTATCTTGTGTTTGACCTGCATATCTTGATGAAATAGACATTTGCGATGGCTGTATTAGAAAGACGATGTCAAATTTGCCATTTCACTTATCGAGATTAAAGGAGTGTGAGATTTTAACCGGCCACATGTCCAAGATAGACAAGCCTCGTCAGTAGTTCTCGTAATGCTTTTTTTTAATTTAATGCGGACATCTGATCGATATTTGATACTTGCAACCTCATTTTCTATTCGAGACGATCTAGAGCTTGTTATACTCTATTGTTGAAAACCATATGTTTACCTCCAGTCGTCTTCAGACTTTTCTGTGTTGTAAGGTTGCTGTTTCACTGACGCATACCCTTTATGTCTCTTTATTTTTTTAACCGTAAAAATACTTACATAAATAAACTATCCAGTCTTCTATACTAAAAGCCAAAGTGACAGAGCTTGCTATGGCCGACACTGTTCCTGCTATAACAATAGTGTAATCTGCAAGGTATTTGTGTAAAATTCTAATGCCAAATAATATTGCACCCCAGTTCACCAAGATGTGGAAGCATGTGAAAGCCTGAACGTGAACCTCACTCCAGCACAACGGCTTGTGGAGGAGGAATAAAGTAACAACGTTAGATTTCCCCAAGAGTGCCCCAACATTGATACAAAATATGATTTGTCCTATCAACATTTTTTTATTTCTTTTCCTGCTCCCATTTCTGTACACATCAAAACATGCGCACATAACTGATTTGGTGCATATCCTAGTGTCCTTCTTTTTCTTTGTCTTGGACGTCTCGGACAATAATGTTAATGTTAATATTAGATCCAAAACGGTACATGCGATGCACATTATCAATGGGTGTCTATAATTCCCGTCTTTTATCCAAAAGCCAATACCTAAAATCGAAAATGCTATGGCAACGGCCGCAGTTCCTTCCAAAACGGTTATCTTTATTGCTCTGTCTTTACCAGGAGTTGTAATATCGGCAATCATCCCCATCATAGCAGCTAAAAATAGACCAAAATGTCCAGTGATGCCGAGGAAAAATTCTCCCAAAGCTAAAAACCAGAGTGACAACCCTTTGTAAACGGTAACAGTCATTACAATTTCTTTGAGTAAAATTCCAACCAATGATAGATACAATGGAAATTTTCTTCCGTATCTGTCAGTTAGTGAACCCAATACCAATATGGGAATCACAGCGATTAATGTGCCGACGAATCCCAGATACATGAGTATGTTTGCAGATTCTGCTTGTACAATATTACTGGTACTGTTTGAAAATTCGGGGCTTTTGGGGCAATAATCAACGTTTGATTTTTCACCGTCTTCCCCATATTTCTTTGCAATTTCGTCTATAATATAAAACTGCTGGATTGGAAGCATTGCCATCAAAGCTCCAAAATGCAGAATGCAAATAATTTCTATCGCAACGAACTGATACACTGGACGAACAATGACTGGTTTCTCCGTGGGCCCATCTGGTACGAGCAAAAGTGGTTTATCTTCCTCGATGGAATCCATTCTATAATATAAACTAAGAAAGTGAGAAATAATTTTAAATTTGCAGATATGCTGTACTTTCTAAATCCTGAAGTAACATATGAAGGATGTATCCCAATTTCTATAGGTGCTACATATTTTGATCTTAAGCATAATTTACGGCAAAGCGTTTTAAAACTACATCTTTTATCAAACAACCATTCAAAATTTAACACGGAGTTTTAATAGACATATGTGACCCGCCAAGACATTTCTAGGCTTATGGCGGTAAACGTCATAATGAGAAAACGTCGATGTAAAGTCACGTAACGTAATCGGGACACCTGTTATTGAATGGCCAATTATATCATGCGGTAATATAAAGATTCATTTTTTCATGACTTGAGGACATTTGAATTTCATATTAAGATATACAAAACAAGTAGATCTTTTACTTAAAATTAATGATTGAGGTTAAAATCCCGTTTAGAATCGCGTTCTAAATTCACAAAATTTATCTTTTAGATTTAATTGCGTAAAACCTTTCTCCTGAATCATTAATACGTTTTCGAATATACAAAATGGTTTAAATTATGTCACCATTGCGAGATATTATTTATGAAAATAAAGTACCGAAAAATTTTTACTTTCCCGAAATAGATTGAAGAATAAACACCAAGTTTTTGGAGTCAATCTCATTGTTTCACATTGTAAGGGAAAATATGAACATATGTATGGACATACACCGGTACATGTAAATCAAGCAAGATATACCTGCCCAGTGGGACCCCAATAGTGTCTCATCCCATAGTTATTCCTAGGTTTTTTTTATCTGTGACTGTCTTATAGCTACATAAACAAGATGTATCGGTTGTTGAAATTTTTACTGCATCCCTTTCACCTAATTGATTATGCTGTTTGATTTTTCATCTTGCTCTGCATTAACAGATCTTTGATTTAAGCACTTTGTCAGGATACATGTACAATATGTATTCACAATAAGATAATAGATGAACATTAGATTGATTGATTGATTGTTGGTTGCTTAACATCCAGTGGCAAATTTCATGCATGTTCAGGACGAGATGAATATTAGAAAGCATATTTGAAAAATAATATACAGCTCCTTGATGGTATATTATATATCTTGTTTTTCACTTTCTTTGCATTGATGTTTATTTCCTTACGAAAGAAAGAAAAATGTTTAAATCAATATGAATTTGATTGCAGATTCCGGTACATTGTTGCTATGGCAACCGAATTAAAATTCTTCAGTTATTTAGTTATCAAAGCTACAATTATATTTTGATTAATTAAAAAAGATTTGAATCTAATTATACTTCATAAAAATGCAAAAAAACTCATTTTGACCCTGGTACCTCCATAATCCTTAAAAAACTAATGGCTGGTCACATATGCATATATAAAAGCAAATAAGGGGGAATACGTCAATAAAACAGCTACCAAGCGTCAAAACAACCAAAAGCCATACAGAGGTCAAAGCACTGGCTTCAACTATAGACGGGCTGAAGGAACTTTTTCGGGACGTCAGGATTGGGCCTTTATTTTGGCGGGAATTCGAAATTTACAACTATCAGGACTCGTGAATTAATGACTAATTTTTCGGAATCCGGGAAAGAATACTTTATTTTTTCGGGAATTCGGGATGACACCCCCTCCTACCGTCCCTCACTAAAGATATATAATAAGTTTCCATACGAGATGTCAAGCTCTTAATCGCATTATGGAGTAAGAGCAATGATTAGTCAGCTCGGAGTCAGAATAATGTGTCCGAGAAGGGTGACATGTCTTCCTGCGGACTGTTACCGTGTGAACTAGCAAGTTTAAAATACGACTCGGCGTGTCGGTGAAAATCCACGGATGGTACCAGTGGGATTCGAACCCTCCATCTCGGGATCTAAAGGCAGCGCTCTAACCAATTGAGCAAAAGAATATCTTCCCATACTCAACCAGTTAGACTACCTGTATATCTCCAGGTCTACAACACTCTTCCCACTTTTCTTTTTTTGGGGCTACGTACCATCCATCCGAGCAGCTCACAGGTCCACTACTGTACACCCCGAGTCTTCCACTCAGAAACCCTCTGGCCATTCCCCTGCATGTCACCCATGACATGGCACTTGTCATCTAATGACCTGGTCAAACCTCATGACCATATTTAAGGGAGCAACCATTTAACTTCAAGGGGGGGTTATGGTTTTTTGTCTGAGTCAGAAAAAATGTTCGCGTAAAGCGACGCTATCAATCAAATTATTTTTTTCAAAATTAAACACTATAATGTAGGGCCGGGGGGAATCTGGATTCAGAATATTTTTTTTTTGTCATCTGCTTGACCACAATATTTGTTTTCATCAAATTGGGGATCAGAATATTTTTTTAGGAAAAATCCAACCGCCGGACAATACTCCACATACACTCGTGTGTACCAGTAGTAGATTCTCGCAGCGCCACTGTTGTGAAAATCCACGGATTGTACCAGCGGGATTCGAACCCTCAATCTCGGGATGTGGAAGGCAGCGCTCTAAACAATTGAGCCAAAGAAGAACTTCCCTATCTCAACAAGTTAGACTACCTTTATATCTCCAGGTCTACACCAATTGTAATGGTATGAGCAAATACAAGTAAAAGAAACAAAAGATATAAATGAAATAATAAAAAGGGGGAATCTAAGTCCGATTTACCTTTGTTTACGAATCCTTAGTTCTCTGGTGTGGTTTATTTTGTACAGTATTGGTATATGATACACCCTTTCCCGTGTGGATGTCAAATTTGAAAGGTTGTCAGTCACAAGACACTCTTAAGTTCTTGTTCTGATGACTCATTTATTATTGTCATCATCCGATATAATTTTCACGCAACTCTATTTTTCATTGGTTGCAGGCTGACTGATTTAAATCTGATCACATCAATGTAATGGCTTTCCAAAAAACTTCATTAAATCTTGATTATAAGAGTTATTTATTTCAAAATTAGCAAAAGCTAGAAATTTAAGTTACTTTCCATCATTCAGTAATCAAATTTTGTAAAACATGATGAACAGGTTTTAATAAATGAAAAGTGTATTTCACCAACAACGGTACATATAATTATTTTGAAATACTTCATAAAATACAACTCACATTAAGTCGGTGTTATGTTTACTTCCTTGGGCCTTTGCGGTATGGGTCAATAACTAGAACGTTATAAATGCAGGTAAACAGTTAAAATTCGGATTTTCTCGTCCTATATTTTCGAACATGATTTTATTATAAAATTCTAAAATACAGTTATCCCCCTTTTCCCGCAAAGGCTATTTTATAACTATAATTGAATTGTGAACATTTAGACCCCACTAATAATTAATGTCTTGTTTTATTTTTATGTTGCTAAGTGTACCTTTCTTTAAAGTATACACCGGTGTCATAAATAATGCTGTGTAGTTTTGCTATAAATCAAATCAAATCAAATATTTTATTATTCCAATCAGGGTCCCACAGGGGGCATTTACAATTAACAATTATGATAGTATAAGCAACAAACATGAGACATTGTACAGTATATAACGTGACAGATATTATAATAGACAAATGAAAATAGTATTAATAACAAAAATACATTTAAAGTACTCTTGAGTATTTTTTTTTCCCTTCCTTCCTTATTACCATTATTATTTCTATGTCCAGCAGTGCAAAAATAAAAAAAATAAAAGAATATTAATAATAAAGTTTGAACAAACTTTTAATTATTATCTATAAAGATGGAAATTTGTTCATCTGCAGGAGACACCAAGGGACGGTGCTCTAGGATATACTGTTGATTGCGATAGGCTATAACAGCAATCCTCCCCGTGTCAGAAGCAGATGAACATAATAAATAGAGAAACTGAATCCGGTCAATTAACAAATTTTTTTTTTAATTAAATAACAACAATTGCTAATTATGCGAAACATGTCATATAAATCTGCTAATTGCAGTGTTTAACTAGGAATATACACAACTCTTTTTATACAGTTGAGTTCTCACAAGACAGCAGCCATAGCAATTTCTCTTGGGAATTTAAGTTAATGAAACTGGGACATGATTCCGAAATAATGTGATATAAATGGTGTCTGTCTTCGTTATATTTTGTGCAATAAAAGAGAAAATGAACATCAGCTTCAATATTACCAGAGTTACACTGCTGACATAGTCTAAGGTGTGGAGGAGTACCCTGGTATCGTCCAATCTGCAAATGGTGAGATGACACCCTAAATTTTGTTAATGATCTTCTTAGTTCAAAATTGGACATGATATTTAGATATTTTTCGAAACCATAATTATTCTTAAATTTTACATAAGTGCGGAGCTTCCCTTCATATATTTTTTTTTTAGAAATTTGTGTTGTGTTTGTGATATTTTGCCATCTCTGTTGAATTTACTCAGAACTTGTTTAAAATCGACTTGCCCTTTCAAGAATATATTTGAATGAAAGAAGATGTGGAGGTAGACATCAATGAAGCAGCAACCCAAAGACAAAATTAACAAAAAGACATCAAAGGCATGACACAGTCTTCAACAAAGTGTGTTCAGACTTTATTTTATATCTTATATCCTTATATCTCAGCCCTATACCCCCTCCCAACCCCCGTGAAAAAACACACGAAATTAAGAAATCATGCCGTCTCGTACACTTAATTTTAAGCCTAGTATTTTTGATGGTTTTGTTTTCATATTGGTTACTGTAATTCATAGATTTCATACTGCACCAGTACATGAAGATCTGATCTCGAGCAATGTCTAAACAAAATATAATGAAAATCAAAAGAAACATGCTTTAACCTATATATTAGCGAATGTATGTTCTTAAAGTCGTCAAATGCATAGTCCGTGATTTCTCTGACGCTTTAACCAAAAAACAGGCCGTCGGTGGTCAGATCAATCTCGGGATACAAATTCAAAGAATATAAATTTCAGTTAATCATATCATATTGACCATGCCCAAGTCGCTATATTAATCGTAAACAATATAATCTGCGAAAGTCGTCTGTAAATAAACAGATACTCACGAGATCGGGTCGAGAATATAAGAAAGAAAAGAAAGAAATGAAAAAATGTTATAATGAACATTTGAAGAAACTTAAGACGAAACTTCGAAGTGCTTCTAAAACCAATACAAAAAAGTTTGGGGGTATATTGAAGTCATTCTCAAAGTTTCAAACTTCTGAAGAAAATAACATTACACTTGATCGCCTATATGAATATTTTAAAGACTTAAATAAAAATGATGAAGAAGCCAGTGTGGATGATTTTTCAAGAGTTTATTCTCAAAATGATATTGATCTTTTTAATTCTGAAATAACAGAGGATGAAATCATAAAAGCAATTAAAAATTTGAAAGATTCAAAAGCACCTGGCATAGATAATATTGTAAATGAATACATGAAAACAACTTTATACAAATTTTTACCATACTACCATAAATTGTTTAATCTAGTATTTGATAGTGGTGATAGTCCTGAGTCATGGACATTTCTAGGAATTATACAAGCTATAGACAAAAATAAAGGTGATCCGAAGGACCCCGACAATTATTGGGCGATTTCTTTAGTGCCATGTCTAGGTAAAGTGTTTACTTCAATCTTAAACACAAGATTAAATATTTTTTCAGATGAAACGGATCTTATATCTGGGACACAAGCAGGCTTTCGCACTGGATATTCTATGCAGGATAATATTTTTATTTTGTATTGTTTAGTTGCTCTATTTTTATCAAAGAAAAAAAATTATTCTGCACATTTATAGACTTCAAAAAAGCATTTGATACAATTTGGAGGGCTGGGCTGTGGCAGAAATTAATTAAAAGTAACATTCAAGGGAAAATGTTTAAAGTTATTTTTTCATTATATAGCAATATCAAATCTTGTGTTAAAGATGGTGATAGATACTCTGATTTTTTTACGTGTGCTATTGGTGTAAGGCAAGGAGTGTTAAAGATGGTGATAAAAAAATCAGAGTAAGGCAAGGAGCTTGAGAGAATTTATCTCCATTTCTTTTCGCTATTTATTCAAATGACTTAGAAGAATATTTGTCTGAAAATTGTGAAATCGGACTTGAAACTCTGGGTTCTATAAGTTTTGAGAATCTAGGTATATATATGAAACCATTTTTGTTACTTTATGCAGACGATACTTTTATATTTGCAGAATCACCACAAGAATTAAAACAAGCACTGAAAGTGTTTGAAAATTACTGTAATTTATGGAAACTCAAAGTTAATGTGTCGGAAACAGAAGTAGTGGTGTTCTGCAAGAAAAAAACTTGTGGAACAAGCACAGAAATCACTGTATTCATTATATACGAAAATTCGTAATATTAGTATACCTATATATTTACAACTAAAACTATTTAATGTATTTGTGTCTCCTATATTGACATATTCATCTGAGATTTGGGGGTTTGAAAATTAAAAACATTAGAGAAAAAATTCATTTACAGTTTTGTAAGAAAATTTTAGGGATTAGAACAAGCACGCCTACTTTTATGGTGTATGGCGAACTTGGGCGATACCCTTAGAAATACAGATAAAATTAAAAATGATGTCTTTCTGGAACAAATTAGTTGGAAATGCAGAGAAAGTGTCTGGTAAAATATACAAATTACTGTTTAAATTATATGAAAATGGTAATAGAAACATGTTCTGGGTTAATTATATTAAATCCATATTTGATGAAACGGGCTTTAGTGAAATATGGAATAATCAAGAATATGTAAATCCTGAATTTTTGAAAATCGTTGTAAAACAGAGATTGCACGATCAATTTATACAAAAGTGGTTTTCAGATGTTACAAATTCTTCACAATGGGGAATATTATTCTAAATTTTAAGATGGAATTTAAATTAGAAGATTATCTTCTACGTTTAAGTCCTGTAAATAGAAGCTATATCTGTAAACTGAGAACCAGCAATCTTAAATTTCCGATTGAGACGGGACGTTGGAATGGTATACCAAGGGATGAAAGATTGTACAATCTCTGTAAACAAGCTGTTGGAAATGAATTTCATTATATTTTCTGTTGTGGTGAATTGAAAGATATTCGAACTAAATATATAGCGGGTTACTTTGTTAATGTACCCAGTGAGGTAAAAATGAATAAAATGTTGAATAAAGGAAATACCCAAGTTCTGACTCACCTCTCATGGTTTCTCCAAAAAATTGTAAAACTCTTATAGAGTCAAACTGCTAAATTCACGTTACTTCATAATCTAGTAGACGAATAACATATTTATTTATATTCCTATGACACAACACTCTATTAAAGACGTGGTGGTTAAATACAAGACCCGAATCGAGTGGACTCGAAACACAAATCGTTGAAGTATGAACCTTTCGTAGACGAAACGCGCGTCTGGCGTACAAATTTTAAGCCTGGTATCAGTGATTAGTTTATTGTTATGGGTAATTGTAACATAATTGAATTGCCTCCTCCCCTTTTTATAACATTCGACAACAAACCTTTTGCCAGTGTGTCAATTTACATTTCCCCTCTGCTTTTTAATCCTACGTAGATCTCGTTTATTGCATATTCATTTTGTGCAATAAATATACAATTATAGATTTGTTTTGTTTCATTCCTTCGCCAGAATAATATAAACAACAAACAATTGAAATTTGGCTTATTATTTGTCATGGCATTTATTCAACAATATTCAACAATATCAACCAACAAACAACCAACATCAACAAACTGGCCAACAAGTCAAAACTTGATGACAATTGGTCACTGAAGGTAAAACCAACAGTAAATGCATAATAATTTCTAGCTGCTGGGCAGATCCATAACAGCTCAATGAACAATATTTGAATAAATCACTGCCAGTTGAATCAATGTGATGATGACATCCAACGCACTTTCCATATAGAACGTAATGCCATGACGATAGACATTTTTTTTTTTTTAATTATTACTGCAAATTTCTTGAATATTCAGGTTTCATTGAATCGCCGATGAATGTTGAAACGTCCGACATTTTTGATGATATATGACAATCTAATTGAAATATTCAACACATGTGGATCTGTTTACCATGTAATCTGAAAAATAAACTTAAAACAGCAGCAATTTTGTTTATTAAAGGGAGGGAGGGTGGGTTGTGCAATTCTGTTGAGAAATAATCATTGAATGAAAATTGAGC